ATCCCCTTTTACTGGTTTAAACACACTATAACAACTTTTCAGTTACCTTCAGTTCAAATTAAACTATAATGTTAACTCAGTGGGCCCACACTCACCAAGCACGCACACACACACAAGCCGGCATATAATAATAAAATAAAACCCCAAACTTCGTTGCGATGCTTGAGAGCGACGATACTTAAACTATTGGTCCACTTCACTCAAAGGAGCAACAGAATTAAAGAGTTTTACCTTAAGCAACAGTTCAGTCCACTGTGCAGAGTTCAACAGTCTTTCCCGGTCTCCAGCAAAACAAGGGCAAGCAGGTGTCCAAAGAAAGCGTGGTCTGTCCCGCGCTCTGCCGCTGTCGTCTCTCGGTCTCTGGTGTCAACAGGGGTGCGAGCGTGCGTCCAAACTGGCGTGGTCGGTGTCCCTCTTTCTAACGAACTCGGAGCTTTGACTTCGCAGTTGTAACTTTCCGATAACTCTCCAGGTTTTTCACGTCGAAACCCGTGAACTAGTCCAACAGTATACAGCTGAGTTAGCTATACTGGCTAAGAGTCCATTCACTTTGCTAATGAATGCTAACACAAAACACTGTCTGCAAACGAGCTATGATACACGCGTGAATAACTGTACAATACATTTCGGGAAGAAATGTCTAACTTCTAAATTTCTTCACAATTGAGGGTCCATGTTCCAGAATGAAGAGTGGCTGGTTAATAACAACACTACCATTTGACATACATTCACCATGACACTCATGCAATTTACTCTAGTGACCTTCACGCCACACTTATGATCAGGTGCACTAAAATACTAGTAATGATGATGATGGTGATGTTTGATGCTAATCGTCATGGGCTGGATAAGATTTCTGAAGATTTGTACTGTTTTCTCACATTGTAGAAGAGAAAAGGAATGAAGAGGCTGACCTCATATTTTCCTTTATTACGAAGCTGTATTGACTAAAAGTAGCCAGTTTACATAGAATCCTTGTTTCTCGGGAATGTGTCAAACATTCCTGAGAAACAAGGATTCTATGTAAACCTTCAACGTCTTGCTTGCAAGAATTGTTTATGCATACATTCATTGTGCTTCAGAAGCAACAGCCAATTTGTATGAGTCAGTTTTGGCAGGCCAGGTTTTTGCCATTCTGGGGCCCTTGGAGACATTGTGACCTGACCTTTACACATCTTAACCAATTATGAAGTGCAGCCCAGATGCCATGAGCTTAAATTTTAAATTACTTTTTTGGAGTTGGCCCGTGTATGTGCGACAGAAGAGCTCTGATAAATCATGCATCCAGCAATTCCAAATCCAACTGCTGCTAGCGCTTGACAGTGAATTTGATGCATGTGACATGGCAAGAATACATTTCTCTCTGACATGACCCAGATGATATGGTTGGTTGAGTTAAGGCATTTACTTAATACACAAGTTAATAAACAGGAGTACATTTGGTACTAGACAAGTAGTCAAATCAGTTCTCTTCCTGCCTCAGTTCATGTTAATCAGACAGACAGCAGGATGATCGCAACAGATAGTTGGCAGGTTGCAAACATACGGGAAACACATCAAGCTGCTCTTGCTTGAGAGTGTGAATTTCATACATCTTACACTCACCTTGGCTGAAATAACAGAAAATGCAAATCTCAGCAGCTTTTTGCCAAATATTGCATCCTCTTAGGATTCACTCCTGAAATCCTAAATTTCCTAAGATGTCAGAAACCTAAGATGTCAGCTTATGACATAAGCTGACACAACAGGGGATACATTGCTCTGCAGCTGTAATCAGTTCTGTCGAATAACGCATTCACCTCTTGACAGTGAGTAAGGACACTTCTTCAAATCAAATTGTAATAGAAAACAAATAGTATTATCACCACACATTTTATTTTGTCGAGTTTGACTTGAATATTTTTTATTTTAGAATAACACTTTAGTATAACTGTCTGAAATGCTTTAAAACACATCGATAAAGAAAACCAGAGATCACCTTCAAAAACTGTGAGAGATTAATGAAGGAAACCATGCAGATGTCAGACCAATTTTATCAAAGATGTTGCTTCTACTGAGTCTAAAAAAACATTTGATGAGGCTAAACATTCATGAACTATGGAATTCATCATCCATAGTTGATGATGAACTATGGACTTTCATCATTTATCATCACTGATGAACCTAAAGAAGATTATATCATTTTTTAACAGTAATTTGTCTTGAAAATCATTACAATGTCTTGTAGAAAAAAGTCTACTCCATTTCTTACACGTTTGCTCTTTTGTTTTTTGTTTTTGGAGAGGTGATAAAAATAAGCTTGACAGGCCTGCTGTGCTTGGTTAAGATTGCTAAGCCATGATTGGACTCCCTGTTTAACGAAACGATCAACAGGGCGCAGGGGGAGCCTTCAAAAGGTCACTTTGAGGTTTGCTTCGAGGTATATTTAATTGGTACAGTTGTAATTCGTTTTAAAGTATTCTTTTCACTGACCTTCAATTTCATGTGTCAATAAAATAAGCAATCCGTGTCTCAAAAGGTATCTAATCAATAACCTACCTCAATTACTGCAATTAAAGTGATGGGCTGAAAAGCTCTCTTTTTTCAAGGTTCTCCTCTGTTGAGGATTTTAATTAGAAAGGCACCATGACTGGCTTATCTGACTTCCAGCATGAGTCAATACACCTTATTAGTCATAATAAACCTGTGAATAGTGCCCTACTCTCATCATTTTAATATCACATCAGATAAATGGTTTACATGCACACTGGTTTTAGCAAACGGAAAAACCAATGCTCTAATGAGGATCTTTAGTCTCAGTTTATCCTGTGCATCTGGCAGCATAAGAGAGAGATTGACACAATGCTTTCATGTGGTTGAGTGGTATTTGTGCAAATTAATCTCCCCAGTCATCCAAGGTGGGTTAAAATAAAAGGGCAACAGGACTTCCAGATGCCCTTGATTTTAAAGGGGCAATCATTACATCATTACTTGCAGGCTAAAATCAACACTTTGACATAATACTGGTGGTACACAGGATAGTAATATGGATTAGCGTTAGCAAACAAACTAACGTAATCAAAGGGCATACTCACAGTAGGCCCGGTAGCCTTTTACTGTGCCCAAGTACGAGGACTGAGTAGAGACGGCTCTCGACACCTAGATGGTGCACACCACTGCCCGGGAGAGGCCTTGACCCTCCAGGTACCGCCTCTCAACAGCCAGACCCACAGGGGCTGGCCGCGCCTCCAGCCTGAGAGAGTTTCCACGGCTGACCCAACAGCAGCCGAATAAGTGGGAAAGCATAAAGTACAACAGACGAGGAGGCCATAGTGGGTGCACGAAGGCGTCTACCCCCCAGCAGTGGATCTTCACGCGAGCTGATGTCCACTCCTCTGTCCAACACGCCAAGGATGTATTCTGCTCTGATGGAGTGCAGATGAGTGCAGCAGCCGCCTGGCCAAGCTCAGCAGCTTTGCCGAGCCTACCCCGCCTTGGAGGTTTATGTAGACTGCTGCTGCCTTGTTGTTGGTGCAGACCAGTACGTGCTGGTTCCGCAGAAGAGTGGCGATGTGTTCGACCACCTTCCACACCGTGAAAACTCCAACACACACGAGAAGGCTACAACCGGCGCTTTGGGAGCACGGCAATGAGTCAGCGGGGCTGAGAGCGAGAACGCCAGCCATTTTGTCCAGGGGAGAGAGCTCTTGGGCCGGAGAAACAACCAGGTGACAGTGGGCAGCAGCTCTCTGGATGATGGAAGGAAGTTCTCTGACGAGGCCGCTGATGGATGGCAGGGAGGTGGTGGCTGATAGCGGGACAGAGACCACGCTGGAGAGCGCTACCTCGAGGCTGGGTTCGCCCACCTTGAGGCAAGCGATCGCCAAGGCCTGGCGAGGGGAAAGCCGGGAGCCGCTGGATAGAATAGAAGAAGTGGGATTGTTCAACTCCTGTTCTTCCGGTAACAGTAGGTCCAGGGCTTCGTCCAGGGAGTGGGTGGGCTTCCACACCTCCTCCTCCTGAACGGCAAAGCTATCCGCCCGGCGCTGCTGCTCATCAGGTGTAAGAAGCGCACAGAACAGGCAATGCGAACTGGGAGTGAGTGCTCAGCCGGCATGCTCTGGTCCGAGGTAAGCCTCGCAGTGGGGATGCAGATCCCCCGGAATGATGTAGCCCATGTGGCAGACGGCGCACACCCGTACGGACGAAGCGGCGTCTCGCCCTGACCCGACAGCTTGCTAGAAGTCACTTCAGGAATCTTCTGCTCTTTAGACAAACGTCTTGCTCTTTAGAAAGCTCAGTGCTGAAGAAAAATGGGAGCCGATGGCCAGGTCTCACTGTTGTGTGTGTGTGTACAAAGTGCGGACATAGGAGAGGCCCACGTTGTGTGTGTGCGTAGACAAGCTTTTCTCAGTTCCGTGCATGAGCGTAGGGGTAAACCCAATAGCGATAGCCTTAGAGGGTGAAGCCTATACAAAATAGAATGCTGTCGATGTTGGATTTCCACCTTACAAAAAGTTATTAGCAAGCATGTAAAGAGTCTAGCTAATAAGGATAGCTATGTTAGCATCAGATTACAACTGGGTTGTCGAGGTTAGCACACCCCCCCACCCCGCGCCACAGTTAGGCTGTCATTCTGTGGGATACCCTGCACTCTTTGGGGGAAAAAAGCGCTTTCTCTCGCATGGCACGGTGGTATTTACGTCCGAGTTCGGTGCTCGGGCACGGTTAGCGATCATACTACAAGCGTACCGTGCCGGAGTCCAGCTTAACTGTGCTTGGGCCCAGTTTATAGTGTTAGTGGACTGCATTTTGTTTGCTGCGGTGTAGTAGGGAAGAGGCTAGGGAGCGTGCATAAAAAAACCCCTACCGCAACCAAGAATACAGGCTGTGGTCCATTTCTATGTGAGGCTACAGCCTGTTGACAAATAGGCAGTAAAAAGTGATTAAAAAAACTACATATAGCCCCTTTAAACCACCTTGGATAACTATGATCTGGGTGACTGAGATTCGTCACTAACCTCCCCAATGTTCATCACACACAGTGAACAGGCTGGTCTTGTTTGTTAGTTCAGGCAGCAGGCTACTGCACTCCATCACAATAGCTTGAGGGATCATGATGATGCAGGACACAACCCAAATGACAACAATACTCTTGCGAGCCCTCTTGGCTGTGCTCTTGAACATCAGCGGGTGGCAGATAGCATACCATCGGTCTTGGGCAATACAGCTCAGTGTGAGGACTGATACAGAAACTGAGATGGTCTGGAGGGAAAAAAAGAAAAAAACGAAACACCAGTCAGAGAAAAAAATGTTCTGGGAATTGTATTTTGAGAACAAAGTCAGAAACCAAAAATAGATCCTATAGCTTCTTATTTTGTCCTGGTTTGCATCGTGACACATGAGAGATTGACCTGAATTTGATATTGACATTATGAGCAATAGTAAACATTAATAAGGAACACTATTCCAAAATTGGCAGGAGTTAGGGGTTTGCTTTAAATCTTAAACATTACATGGCTATAAAGCAAGTCTTTAGCCACCAGCCAGAGAGATTACTCAAGAATCGAATACTTTAGATAAAATCAATTTGCTTTCCATGGTGAATGTTAATTCATTGTCGTGCATTTTTCAACAGACATAAGATATTCAGCATTAATAAAACCTGAATGGCAAAACATCACTGATCAGTTTTGCAGTAAAACATGCTGAATCTGTTGTCTGTGTCTGCCAGTACAGACACAGGTGAACTCAATTTGGACCCAAATGCAAGATACTCAAGCCGAACAGGTACAGTTTATGGCATTTATTAATTTGGTGAGGCAAATTTCACTGAACATTAGACAGGCAAAAATCCACAATCTAACAGAAATGCAATAGTCCAGGCATGGAAGACAACAAAGTAATCCAACAAACTGGTATGGGAGACATGTAACACTAACAAAGAACACAGGGAGTGAGACAATCTGACACAGACAGGAGGAGACACACAGACTATACACTACAGAGGGCAGGATGACAGAAAAATGAGATTTCAATTATGGATTTGTGAAATTGCACCACAATTAGATGTGGCATATTGAAGTATGAGAAACTTCCTATATTTGCTCTCATCCCATTTCAGTGTGGTTATCAGATTGTTGTCCCATGGAGTCCATTCAGCTCACAGTGGCCCCACCAATTTCATGTGGGAGAGAAACGAGTGGGATCTGGGAGGTTCATTTGCTGTGGGAAATAAACGCTGAGCTCCAACACTAGGTATACTAGATCACCTTTGGTGACGAATTTTCTTCATTAAAAGGTCTTAAGAAGAAGGGAGAGAACAGAAAAAGACATATGTTGAGCTTGGTCATTTTACAATAAAAGGCTGTAAAACAAAATGTACTTTCATTTATGCCACACACATGCAAACAACACAGAGCCAAAACATAACAAAAAGGTATTCATTTTGATGGTTTGAGGGGGATGATTTTAAAAGTCTCACAGCTTGCGGCTCCTTGGTTTTTGGACATTGAGCAGTAGGTTGTTCTCTGTGCACCACTCTGCAAGATTGTTAATTTCCTCTTGATATGAAGTCTCAGTGTTGTTTGTAATCCAGTCAATGATGGTGGTCTTGTCCGCAAACCTCACAGCAGAGTTGACTCCATGTCATAGGCTGCAGTCGTGGGTGTACTTTGTGAACAGGAGGGGGCTCAACACACGCTCGGGTGTTGAGCACTAGAGTGGAGGAGATGTGACCGCCAATCCAAATTGTCTGGGGTCTGTTAGTGAGGAAGTCCAATGTCCAATTGCAGAATGTGCAACTCAAGCCCAGAGTGCTAAGTTTGCCAATCAGTTTTATGAGGGAGATTGTATTGAATGCTGTGAATCCACAAATAGCATTCTGATGTAGGTGTTGTTATTTTCAAGGTGTGTGAAGAATGAGTGGGGGGCAGTGGAAGCCTTGAAACAGATCTGGGATGGTGATGTTTGAGGCTGAGAATGTGAATGTGATGCAAATATAGAATCCACAGGGAGACCTGCCTACAGAGTGGACCAGCCTGTAGGAAAAATGTCTTAGGCTACGTTCAGACTGCAGGCCAAAGTGACCAAAATCTGAAGTTTTTTCTCATATATGACTCAGATCTGATCTTTTTATAACAGTGTCAACAGGCCAAGTCACATGGAATCTGATCTTTTCCAGTTCAGATTTGGGCCACTTTCATATGTGGTCCATATTCGATTTGATCCGATAGCCTGACATAACTTCTGTGCCATCATCCAAAAAATATCAAAAAACATCAATGAGTCACACCGTTGACTACATGTGCAGTGTATTTTATTCTGAGTTAATCATCCTGTGTAATATTCACTAGTGCACCAAATGTGCATTAATCTGCCCCTGAAAATAGTCCCTAACAAATGTACAATTTCCTTGTTTGGGTAATACCTGCAAAACAACTACAGTGCCCAGCAGTAGTAAAAATACCTTAACCTGCTGGTACTTCTAGCACCATTTAATCCTGTATTGTGTTCAGGATTTCAAAAAGTGCATTGACCAGAGAATGTGTAATTACAGACTGAAAGAAATTGGTTAATGTGAACATCTAATGACATTTAAATGTTAATCAATGGAAGTCAGAGGACACCACCTCAAATGTAATTCTCAAACAAAAAACATGATGTCAGTTTTGGGTCAAAACAATATTAATGTTGTTGCTTTTGTGGCACCCTGTTGTTAACACATTAAAAGTATTAAAGACCTTCAATACAAGCTAAGCCAGCAGCATTGAGCTTCCATTAAGGGCTTCCAGTGTAATGTTTCTGTGCTGTGAACCAATCCCTTTTGTTGCAATTAATTAATTACAAACTGACAACTTTATCTGTGGTGCTGCAGTTTCAATAAATCAACATTTATTCCTGACAGTTTCCTTTACTGCTTCATGATTTCTTTCAGGAATCAGTTGTTTCATTACAACATACTGTTTCAAATGGCGATATTATTGCTTGTGGTACTTCCTTTTTTCTACTCTTGGGGATGATCTCCCTTTATTCAATACAGCACAGGAAATTGAAGAACCTAGCAAAATGTCAGCAAATTTAAGTAATTTGCAAGCGGGAACTAATTTGGGAGCATTCTGGGTTCATAAAAACAGCAGGAGGTGGCCTTTGCAGACATGTAGCAGCAGCAGTTACATTTCATTGATAAAGCACACAAAAGCAAACCGGGTGAATGTGAACATGAAGGCCTTCAAACAGACCCCTAATTTGTATGATGTGTTATGTCCATCCTGAAAGTGTACATCACAGTTACCGAGGACCAAAATTTGAGATATGGTCGAGCAAAAATTCACTTGGATATGTGTATAGAGTATAGTAGGCTTTGCTTAATGTATAGGTTACATTATATGCGCAGGGTAGTGTTGGAGTTCACTACATAAATGTGGCCTACAGTGTGAAATAAAGTGCATGACTTTCTCTTGGCATGATGTTTTGGCATAGTAGGGACGAATTGAAGAAAGCAAAAGACTTGCTTGAGGCATTAAATCCTCATGGGATAACATCAAAGGTCCCACACAGTGCTCATCTCATGGGATATGAAAAAAGCATTTTTTACCCTCATGAATTTGGAGAAATAAATATATTTAATCAAAATAGCCAGGGCCTTGTGATAGTGATAAACCTTTTATGAGCAAAGTGGTTTAGATCAGGTCAAGATTTTTAATATCCTGTGCGAAACACAGATGTCAAAGTTGATCTCTTACCTGCAAATAAGGCACAACTTTGCAAAGAGTGTTTCCAAAGAACCACGTCTCTGTGATGTCTACCACAAGACTCGCAGGGAGGCAGATGATGGTGACCAACACATCAGCAAAGGACAGATTCACTATGAAATAGTTGGTCACGGTGCGCATGTGGCGGTTTTTCCACACTGCAAAACAAACTGACAATGATGCACAATCAAAGTCTGCTCAAATACTCAATAAAGGAAAATAAAGAAAATATTTAGCACATTAGTGTGGGGTATCACCACTGTCTTGGAGGCATGCTGCAAATTATAGAGTTTGAATTAAAAATAAGTTATAGTTCTGTCTATGTCATTGTTCCTGTTGGCAAAATATTCATGAATCAGAATATACATACAGAAAGTAACATTTTCATGATTTGGTGTGGCATGTGCTGAGACTGTCACAGTAGAGTGGTTTCTCATCCATAAAGAGCGTGATGTATGCTTGATGCAATATATAATAAACAAATAATAAACCGCAAATGTAAAACTGAACAAGTAAATCACAGTAGCTTTTTAGAACAGAATATACTTTCTGCTCCTGTTAACAGACATCATTAGTAAATAGCAAGGCAGAAAGAATTTTAACCTGCTACTTTATGACTCACTGTTAATTATAGTTCAGCATAGAAAATCAGTGCTTTGCCTGGTGATGTGAATTTATATAGAGTAACTTAAGGGACATTAGCATGGAACATTATTTAAAGGGGCTATATGTAGATTTTCAATGAAATCACTTATTAATAAATAAAATTTTTACTGCCTTTTTGTTAATGTGTTGTAGCCTCACTTATAAATGAAGCACACACCTGTTTTCTCTGTTGCTTGGAACAGCCACTATTCTGCTTTTAACGTGAAGGTATCGGGTCGGGATGTAGCTTTGTTCATGCTTCCGAGCCTCTCTCTGACTACAGCGACAACACCGCAGCTAGCAATATGCAACTGTTATAAAGTGTGGCAACAATCTCATTTATAATATTTAGTCTAGCTCACTAACCATTTTGTTATCATCAAATACATTAAGCTGTGTTGACATTGCCGAGCCTCTGGTGAAAGACACACAAACAGTACAAATGTTAGTTACTGAAAAGCAGACAAGTAAGCTAATGAATAATGAATATCACGTCAGCTAAATGCATTAAATGTAAGTATATAGTACGTATTGTCGTTACTTATCCATGTAACGGACATGGATTAATTCAACCTCAAGATGATAAAAATATTATAACGTTGCAGTGGGAGTTTACCTGAGTTTTTGACAAACTTGGTGAGTACAATAATAATACCAGCAGGTGAACCAGGAGTGCCCAGGGTACTTAAGCGCCTACCTTTGTAGCCCGTTATTATGGACTGTCAGTGGGCGTGTAGATTCACTTGCGTGCTGTCAGATTAAAGTGTATATTTCTTATGTTATTATTTTCTTCAAGCCTTCGAGACCTGTAGGGCGGTGTTAAAATGCAGATGTGATATTGTAGGCCTGTAGTGAATAATAAAAGGTCTCAACTGTAGCTGCAAATACGCACAACATCAAAGATGGGAAACAGTCAAGTAAAATTATCTCCTTTAGCATATCTAATCAACACTGTTAATTTGAGATCCCGTAGGTACTCTATTTCCCATTCAATATTCATTCCAATGCAACGCTTGTATTTGTTCACAATTTACATAAATCTTTACTTGTATAGTTGGTCATTGTTGCTTTTTATATATCTTTAAAGATACTCACCTATTTTTTCACCCTTTGTATACACATATTAGTTAAATCTATCTTTGTTGTCCTGTATGTGTAGTTCTATCTCCCAGTGAATTGTTCTGTGTATAAGTACAAGGAAACCAACTCTAAACCGAAGTCAAATTTCTTGTACATGTACACAATAAAACTGATTCTCAGAAGTCGTTACGATGCCATGATTCAATAGATAGATCTGCAATGAAGGTGTAACGTTACTAAAAACTAGTAACATCTTAGCCAATCAACACATATATTTCAATTAATAAGATATTTGATCTTTTTACCCACAATACAAAGGCATGGTAAAACAAGCTGCTGCAATATAAACAAACATTCTGGCTGCACTTTTGTACATCAACAGTTACAGTAAGCTACTGAACTTGGATGCACATGTTTTGTTTTGCTTGGAGAAAGGCATGAGTACATACCATGAGTACAGGAACTACGCAGCCACAGGCACTGTCACAAAAACTACAGACAACCTAGACCAGGGGTTGGCAAATAAGTCTGCCATCAGGCCAGAATTCTTTCAAGTCATCAGATGGTGGGCCAGAACATCATCAATTGACCATTTATATTCTAACATTTACTGTATATGCGATTAGTTCAGTAGTGCACAGGACTCCCATTTGGAGGATTGAGTGTTCAATTCTTGCTAGCTGTATTTTTTCTTCCTTTTTAACAAATTGATTGCGAAGAGATCGTATTACATATCACAATTAAGAATGTGCAGGAGTGTGTACATCCTGCCGATTGGTCCACATCAACCTATGAACGCTTATTTTCGTGTCCCCAGTATATCCAGGCAGAGGAAATTCCTGCTTTTCTCATTCAGGGGAATCCGCGATCTCACATTTTCTGATGGCTTTTTCAGAGGTGTGTCAAGCAAACCAGAGACTCTTTTGAAAGTTAAAGCTCATTTAAAAACCACATAAAGTACTGTTGCAAAACATTTCTCATGCTTTTATTTTGTAGGCACAATCACTTAAGAGGAAGTGAATATGTGAGTAACTTTTGCTGTCATGACTGAGATCTGTTTCAGCACCAGCCGCTATAATTATATATTTTTTTGCCGCTATAAAAGTAATCTGGCCAGATATTATTGCTGGTAGGCCAGCTTTGGCCCGCGGGCTGCCTATTGCCAACCACTGACCTAGATGTCTCATCTTTCAAAACCAGACATGAAAGGGTGGCATCCCTGGAGGATGGTTGGATTCCCATTAATGCAAGCTAGTGTTGTGTTGTTCAGTGAGTAATTCGTTCATTTTCACTCATGTGATGGATGTCTTGAACTGCTACGTTCACTCGTCACACGGCAGCTGCATGGGCTCAGGCAGCACAGGAAACAGAATTGATTAGCTCACAACTCATAACTGTGGGTCTCTGGGTTTCAGTTGTTCATTTGTCACGTGACAGCTTGGCTACAGTCTGTGGTAAGCAGGCAGCACAGGGAGCAGAATAGTTCACGACTCATAGCAACTGTGGTTCTATTTCGTATAGGCTTCGCCCTCTAAGGCTATCGCTATTGGGTTTGCCCCTTCAGCGGCACTGAGAATTTTAGTCTACGCCCACCCATAGCGTGGGCCTCTCCTACGTCCGCACCTTGTATATATACAACGGTGAGACCCAGCCTTCGGCTCCCTATTTTCTTCAGCACTGAGCTTGAAGTCTAAAGAGCTAGAAGAAAGAAGAACAGAAACTACCTGCAGAAGCGATGTCTTCCTACCTTTGAGCCTCTCCACCGGCGGCTGCCCTGCCGGCGCAGCACCGCACTCCCAAGGCTCCGGCTCTGGCCTGCTCATGTTCCACCCCCCCTGCACAGCCTCGCCACCCTGGGAAGTGCCAATGACATTTTGGGGAGGAAATGTGTGTTTCCTGTGCCTGTTCTGTTTGCACTGTTGTTTGAAACCCCAGCTGTTTTGAAATAAAACACAAACAGAGCCCTAAAGAGCGCGTGAAACAGGTGATCGAGTGTGTGCGCCAGGGAGACTGGCTCTCCTCCATCGACCTGAAGGACGCGTACTTTCATGTGTTCGTGATCCCGGGACACAGGAAGTTTCTGCGTTTTTCATTTCAAGGTGCCCAGTACCAATACAACCACCTGCTCTTTGGTTACTCCCTGGCCCCACGTACCTTTTTCAAGTGTGTCGAGACGGCATTGGAGCCACTGCGGCAGTCTGGCATCAGGGTCCTTTTTTACCTGATGGTGCTGCTCCACCATGTCGTACCACGAGTGACGGTGGCGGCTCTGTCGGTCATGAGGCTCTTGGGCCTCACGTCGGCGGCTCACGTGGTGGTTCCCCTGGGCCTTCTCCACATGAGGAGGCTGCAGCGGTGGTTCATCTGCCTGGTTGTGTACCCGGTGAGACAGAGACGGTGCCGCGTTTCTGTTCCCCGGTCGGTGGCTCCAGATCTGGCCTACTTGTGGGACCCCCTCTCTCTTTCGGTCGGGGTCCCCCTGGGCAGGGTCACGTCCCACATCTCGGTCTTCACGTCCTCCCTGATGGGCTGGGGCGGAACCTGCCTTTCTCGGGTGGTGGGTGGTCTGTGGTGTTCCCCCGCTGGGAGTGGACGCCTTCGCTCACCCCCTTTGGCCCCCCCCGGGCTGCTGTATGCCTTCCCGCCGGTGCGGCTGATCCCGCGCCTTCTGGACCGCCTGCAATTTTCATCTCTGGCGGTGATTGTGGTGACCCCGGAGCACACCAGCGCGTCTTGGTTTCCCTGCCTCCAGCGGCTGCTGGCCACAGGGGGTGGGGGGACGCTCTCTCTCAGGCAGGGGGAGCGATCAGGAGCTACCCGCTCCTCGGCCAGCCTCTCTTGGTCTGGCCTCTGAGAGGCGCCGCCTGGAGGGCTTAGGTCTCTCCCGTGAGGTGGTTCGCACCATCCAGGAGTCGAGAGCTGCTTCCACTCAGTCCTCTTACTCCTCTAAGTGGTTGGCTTTCCAACGTTGGTGTCTGGACCAGGCGACGGACCCAGTCTCCTGCCCGCTGCCAGCGGTGCTTTCGTTCCTTCAGCTGCTCATGGACAGGGGGCTGGCATTCAGTACGATTAAAACCTACACTGCCGCCATTTTGTCCTGTCACAAGGGCTTCGGGGACAGGACTGTGTTCTCCCACCCCCTGGTGAAGCGCTTCCTTAGGGGGGTGCGAAGGCGCCGGCCGGTGACGTGGCCTGCGGCCCCACAGTCGGATTTGCCGCTGATTTTACATGCGTTGTCAAGCCCTGCTTGGGACGCCACGTTCCACCTCCTCTGCCCGGTGCGTGCAATGTCCTGCTACGTGGCGTGCACGGCCGCCTGGCGCCGTTCGCAGCATCTGTTTGTGCACTACAGGAAGCGGTCCAAGGGACTTCCCCTGTTGGCCCTCTAAGTTGTGGGCCTCACTGGACCTTGGTTCTCAGTGCTGAAGAAAAGACACTTGGGAGC